TGTACAGGTTTGTTTTTGCGCTGTTCAGTGTATGTTCATAATTGTATTTTTATGTGGGTGTGTTTGTGTGTCGTGGCATTATGTATTAGGTTTCTCTTGTGGGTAAATTTTTTCGCGGAATTTCCTTGGAATAAATATTTCTTCCATTTCTATGAAGGTTTTGTATATTTTCGCTGTTTCTTTATTTCTGATGGCGTTGAAATATGCCAGTTTTCTTTGATTGAACATGTTGTTCCACATTTGGAGATTCTGTTTTTTTTTCGTTTTGTACGCTTCCTCTCGGATGTGTAACTTTTTTCATATTTTCCAGGTATCCGAACTGCGTTTTGAAATGTTCTATTAGTGTTTCTCTATTGCAGTTGTGTTCCCTGGTTTGTTGTGATGTGATTTCTAGGAGAATAGCTTCCACATTTTTGTTCAATTTCTGTATTTCTTCTTCCAGTAGTTCCTGTTACAATTTTTGAATACATTATGTACTAGTGAGCCAACCCAAATGACTTGACTCACTTTATAGTCCACCAATAGAAGGTTAACCAATCAGAAGACGTAGAACATTCAATTCGTCGTGTATAAAGGCGGCCATTTTGTCTACTCTACCCGAATGTCCAGTCCAGCTTGTCAGGCGAAGAGAACCAGAAGGACGAACTATGCTCTGCTACCTTTTACCAAAATATCCACTGCTAACCTGAACAACGCTTTCCTACTGTCTTCGAAATATTCACTGCTAACCTCTGGATTCTATACTCGAAGACGACCGTCATCATGAACAACAGTTCCTGTTTTTGGTTGGTAAGTTTGAATAACTCAAGAAATTCTTCCATTTTTTTCAGTTCGTGGTATTCTTTCGTTGTAGTTATATAAAAGGAAGAATTTATAGTAGTTCCAACGAGAGAAATGTGTGTATATTAAAAAGAAGAGAGAAACCGCAAACGTTTTTGGTTGTCATGTGGATTTAAAAAAAAACAAAAAACATTATGCTTTATTTTCCATAATTTTACTACACGTGCTTCTGATCTCGCGACCGTCATCAGCTACAGGGTGGAGATTTCCACATATTATTAAAAATAATTCATTTTTTTTCTCCTTTATGTTTTTCGATGTTAAATATTCTCGATATGAGACATTCTCTTTTTATGTGTTAGTGATTCGAATGTCCTCGGCGTCTTTCATCACCCTTTCTCGGACCATTTTCAATAGTTTTATCACCCTTCACGCAGAAGGACTTCTTCACTACCAGTTCAAGAAAGACAAAACAGAGAATGTTCAACATCGAGAATGTTCAACATCGAAAAACATAAGAAAAATTAATTCGGTTTAATAATATGTGGAAATATCCACTCATTGACTGAAGAAGGTCGCGACCATAGCTCAATTAGGTTTCAGTTAAATATTAATGAAGACCTACCGGACACTATTCTTAACATACTTGTTGGCAACACTAATATAATAGCATCATCTACATGCAAGAAAGTACTAAAAATAATTGAAGCCTTATTATAAAAAAAAAAAAAAAAACAACACTTAATAATATTAACTATGAACATGGACACATTATCTTGACCGTTTTTTGAAAAATAAAAACATTTTATAAAACATACATGCAACAAAGTATTTCTTATTTAACAGTTAAAATATTTAATCCTTGAAAATGGCTCGGATAAAAAGAACAATCGAACAATTTTATATAATTTATCATTTCAAAAGCAAAAAAATTATTAGATCACATGAGAAATTGTATAATAAATAAAAGAAATTATCTGTCGTATTCAATGAAATGTGCATGAAAGAAGGATTGCTGCCTAAACCCACACACACATATATATATATATCAAAGACATTTTTTATGTTTAACGTTGTTATTTATAGATAAAAGTATTTAAGCAAATGTTCTGTTTATAATAAACAGTATTAAATAACATTTACCGGCCTGAATATCCGAGAAATTTTCATAGAAAATATTCGTTCTTTGACAGGATTCGAACCTGCATCCTATAAGAAACTGTCATTTACGCTGACGTGCCTTAACCGACTCGGCCACAAAAAACCTATCGCTAGACAAGGTCGAATTTACTGCTTATAAACTTCAATCTTCCATGAATCTCGTACATTCATAACTGCTCTGGCGTATCAAATGTAAACAAATGACGTCATATATTAAGAAATGGACAAAGTCCGACAATTTATTTATTAAAGACATTTTTTATGTTTAACGTTTTTTTTTATAGATACAAGTATTTAAGTAAATTCTCCGTTTATAATAAACAGTATCCTGTCATATATATATATATATATATATATATATATATATATATATATATATAAAAAGTATATATATATATATGAAAAGGTTAAGAAAGTAGGAACTCTAATAGGAAATACTGAGGATATCGTCTGACGGAAAGAATTGACAATGGCAACTTTCATGTACTTTTGGATGAGACGAGAAAGTATTAGTAAAAAGCATCGTTTGAAATTGTGCAACACGATAGTAAAACAGTTATTGACATACAATTGTGCTAGGTGGAGACTGACAAGAGAGTATGAAGAAAACTTGATTCATTCCATCGAAAAGAGTTAAAACATCTAACTGGCAAAAGGTACCCTGACAGAATTCCGACTTGTCAAAAAGATATAAATCATATCCGATAGCATTTTCCCGCCCTCCGATTACAGTGGGAATTAGTTGGACATGTGTTACAATTAGTTGCGAAATCTCCTTCTTATAAAGCAGTGCTGTCGTGTATTTAGTGATTTAGTTGGAGAAGAAAAACTCACATTTTTTTCAGAGAAAAAAAAATGCCACGAACAAGCATAGTTACACACGACATACAGAACAACGATATTAAAAGAAGTGTCAATAAAATTCGGTCATTCCCCCGAAAAAGCTTTGAAGAACATGGAAGACCTGTCGCATTTTCAAGAGTTGGCAGAAGGCAGGAAACTTTGAAGAGGACTGATTAAGGAGATTTAAAAAGAATCTTACTTAAGTTAAGAAGAGTTATTTACGACAAAATTGCTGAAGATGAGAAATCACACTGATTTGTATTGTGTCTTCATATTGAAACAGCTCTTATGATGATCATGATAAAGATGATGATGATCTTCAACATAATCATCATCAAAACGTTATAAAAGAATGGTAGGTAAACATAATCGGCCTATTCCATTCCAAATTTTGTATTTTTAATAATTCTGAATGAAAAAAAAATGTTCCAAAATTCGATGTGATGATCATTTGAACGAAAGGTACCGGTGCAAGGATATTGTCACCCCACCCATTATTGCCTTTTGGAGGGGGATGTTTTGGAGCAGTCGGCTCTGACAGTCGGACCGAACCTAACACTCTCGTTTGTATATGTTTGTATTACTGTTTCTGTTAATATATTTAACTCAATTCTTTATTAAGTCTTTATTTTCTGGCCCTAACAAGTCCACAACAGATAAATAGATAGATAGGCAATTATTATTACATATATTATGGCAATTTACCCACGCACGCATGGATTCTCCCAGCTATAAATAGGAGCAGGTACTGCCTTTTGAGAGTGAAGTTTCAGCAGTCAGCTCTGACAGTCGGGCCGAACATTCTTGATGTAACACTCTCGTTTGTATATGTTTGTATTACTGTTTCTGTTAATATATTTGTTTAACTCAATTCCTCTCTTTGTGTCTTTATTTCTGACCCTCACAAGGCCACAACAGATAGATAGATAGATAGATAGATAGATAGATAGATAGATAGATTTGAACAAACCTAGAAGATAGACAGATAGACATGAAACAGAATGAGATAGATAGATAGATAGATAGATAATGTTATATTAATTTACCCACGCACGCATGGACTCTCCCAGCTATATATAGGAGCAGGTACTGCCTTTTGGAGAGGGAAGTTTCCAGCGGTCATTATTTATTTAACTCAATTCCTCTTTTTGTGTCTTTATTTCTGGCCCTAACATCGCCACAACAGGGATAAAAGCTCAACCAAAGTAATGACAAGGATTCCGTTTACGGAAGATCACCGAAGTTAAGCACCGTCGAGTAACCTAGGTGGGTGACCGCTTGAGAATACCAGGATAAGCTTGGATGTGAAGGTGGTGTAACAGATAACGGCTCGGAATTGTTAATCGGTGAGGCGAGTTCCAATTCTCGTTGGGCTCTTTATGAGCAAAAACCTTTGGGAAATGTATAAACCTGCCTCTTCTCTAATCAGATATGGGTTAATTAGTAAAACTTGTATCAATAAACCGTCATTATCTCAGACAAGAATTCTTACAACCTGAAAGCATTTTCTGGCTATAAATAAGCTGCAAAGGGTTGATAAACCGTAGCAAACGAATCAATCAGTGAAATGCTGATTAGCTACACAGACATCTCTTTTAGATGTATTTACGTTTTCTGGAATATAAATAGTGAGAAATTACCGTGACCACAAAATGAGGGATCAGTTTGAATAATAACTGTAATATAGAATTGATCCCTCACTTTATATCCACATTATAATATTTGATTTCTATCTCTGTTACTGAATACTATTCACCCATAAACTTAGCAAATTACAATTTGATATCTAAAAAGTTTAAGGGTATTTCAACATCAGATATCGTCCGATCGCTGTACGGAAACTTGGGCGCTACCCTTTGTGAGTTGCAAGTTTTGTAAGCAAACAAGCAAAAGGCTACTTCAAAGTTGCGTTAAATATTTATCATGTCTAAAATTTCTGACGTTTTGGACAGCATCGCCTTTGTATCTTATTTAATAGCAGAAAATATTTTAAATTTTTAGGTGGTGGTGGTGGTGGGTAGATAAAAATTATTTTACTGGTAAAAGTCTTACTAATTAATCAATAGCTTGGGGGTGAGGGTAGAAGAGATAGATTCATATCTTTCCCCGGGGGTATTTGCGCGTAAGTGACTATAACGAAGCCAACTGAAATTGGAACTCGGCTCTCCGATTAACAATTCCGAGCCATTACCCATGACACCACCCGCACATTTAAGCTTACAACAGCTGGTTTTCCCAAGCGGTCACCTATTTACTCACCAGGCTCGACGTTGCTTAACCTCGACGATCGTACAGGAACCGGTGTTTCAATGTGATGTGGCCGCAAGCCATTTTTGTTAAGATTCAAAAATACAGGGTGATTGAAAAATGACTGCCCATTTGAAAATACTTATAAATTATTTATTAACCATAATTTTACAAGAAATGGATAGGAGAGGAAAAACGTTTAGTATGAAGTTTTATTTAAAATTGGATATGGGCACCAAATTTCTCTACCAGCTTCTCGAGCCGCCATGAATCATGTCAACTAATTTCACCAGAATTTTGTTGTATGGAAGACATAACTTTTGTATTCGCATTTCAAGTTCTTCCAAAGTCTTCGTTTGGTATAGTAGACTTGCCCAACTTAACTAACCCCCAAAGAAAAAAGTCATACGATGTTAAGTCAGGACTCCTGGCTGGCCACCATACATAAAATAGGGAGTTACTTTTTCAATCACTGTGTGTGTGTGTGTGTGTGTGTGTGTGTGTGTGTGTGTGTGTGTGTGTGTGTGTGTGTGTGTGTGTGTGTGTGTGATATATATATATATATATATGATTTCACCAGGAATTTTGTTGTATGGAAGACATAACTTCTTGTATCTGCATTTCAAGTTCTTCCAAAGTCTTCGTTTGGTATAGTAGACTGCCCAACTTAACTAACCCCAAAGAAAAAAGTCATACGATGTTAAGTCAGGACTCCTGGCTGGCCACTCATACATAAAATAGGGAGTTACTTTTCAATCACCGTGTGTGTGTGTGTGTGTGTGTGTGTGTGTGTGTGTGTGTGTGTGTGTGTGTGTGTGTGTGTATATATATATATATATATATGATTTCACCAGGAATTCTTGTATGGAAGACATAACTTCTTGTATTCGCATTTCAAGTTCTTCCAAAGTCTTCGTTTGGTATAGTAGACTTGCCCAACTTAACTAACCCCAAAGAAAAAAGTCATACGATGTTAAGTCAGGACTCCTGGCTGGCCACTCAGACATAAAATAGGGAGTTACTTTTCAATGACTTTTTAGTATTAAACAGAATGAAAATTCAAATCTTCAAAGTATATTTCAATTTCATTCTAAAATATACAACGGAAACATCCTCGAATACTGACTTCCTACAGATGCATTCATTCAATTACCATTTCTCCGTTAGAAGCAGTCATAATTCTGAATTCAGTCCTAACATTTCTGCACAGATGTTATCCATGAGTTGCTGAATTGTCTGCAATTTGCACACACTCCTTAAGGTATCCCCACCCCATCAAAAAAAAAAAAAAAGAAAAAGAAAAGAAAAAAGATTAAAAAAAATAACCAGGGTGCGTCAAGTCAGGAGAGTTTGGTCACCAAAAAATTTCAGAATTTCACGAAATTCGACGGATTGGTTGAATGCAAAATAAAATTCCAGGATTTTGGTTCTCCGTTCTTTTGTAAATTTTCCATGGGTAATATCCTGTCTTAATAAATAAATCAATAAAAAATAAAAAGAAAGAAAGAAAAAGAATGAATGAATGAATGAATAAATAAAAAGAGAAAGAAAGAGAATAAGGAAAGAAAGAGATAAAGAAAAGAAAGAAAAGAGAAAGAATGAATGAATAAATAAATAAAAGAGAAAAGAATGAGAATAAGGAAAGAAAGTGATAAAAAAGAAAGAAAAGAGAGAAAGAGAAAGAAAGAGATAAAAAGAAAAGAAAGAGAGAAAGAAAGAGAAAAGAGAGAGGAAGAAAAGAATGAATGAATAAGTATATAAAAGAGAAAGAAAGAGAATGAGGAAAGAAAGAGATAAAGAAAAAGAAAAGAGAAAGAAAAAGAAAGAAAGAGATAAAGAAAAAGAAAGAGAGAAAGAAAGAGAAAAAAGAGAGGAAGAAAAAGAATGAATGAATAAGTATATAAAAAGAAAGAAAAGAATGAGGAAAGAAAGAGATAAAAAAAAAAGAAAGAGAGAAAAAAGAAAGAAAGAAAGAGATAAAGAAAAAGAAAGAGAGAAAGAAAGAGAAAAGAGAGAGGAAAGAAAAAGAATGAATGAATAAGTATATAAAAGAGAAAGAAAGAGAATGAGGAAAAGAAAGAGATAAAGAAAAAAGAAAGAAAGAGAGAAAGAAAGAGAAAGAAAAGATAAAGAAAAGAAAGAGAGAAAGAAAGAGAAAAGAGAGAGGAAGAAAAAGAATGAATGAATAAGTATATAAAAAGAGAAAGAAAGGGAATAAGGAAAGAAAGAGATAAAGGAAAAAAGAAAGAAAGAAAAACAATGAATGAATAGATAAATAAAAAGAGAAAGAAAGGGAATGTGGAAAAAAGAAAGAGAAAAAGAAAGAGAGAAAGAAAGAGAGAAAGATAGAAAAGGAATGAATAAATAAAGAAAGAAAGAAAGAAAGAAAAAGAAAGGGGATAAGGTAAGAAAGAAATAAAAAAAAAAGCATGTGACAGAAAAACCTTAATGAATTAAAGAAACAGAGAAAGAAAATTCATTGAAGCGGACACGATTCGTCCTAACGACATTTTTACTTATGTAAATAAATACTTGTAAAATAAAATCCTTTCATTTGCCTTGATAAAGTCCATCAGACGACGAAACGTGTTGGTAAAGATCAGTTTTGTCTTTGTCTTTAATAAAGTTGTTTATATATATATATATATATATATATATTTGAACTTTTAAAAACGACAGAAATTTTGTGTCGATTAATTTTTCTGATCGATTTTTCCAAATTACGAATAATCCTTTTCGGACAAAGCGGAAATTATTATTTAAGAGCGCGCATCCTCAAACGTGTATGTATATATATATATATATATATATATATATATATATATATAAAATAACAAAAAAAAAAACACTACACACACGTCATGTCACACTTTGCCTACGCCACAATACACTTTGTCTATGTCATTACCCTAACAAGTTCGACGAAACACTGAAACCATTTGTCTCTACCAACCCCGATGATGACTTAAGAAAATCGGAAGCTTGGACCGTATTTCTTCCTAAATGAAGTTTCGACAATTTCAGACGTAATTTCCTCCTGAGAAGGATTATTCGTAATTTGGAAAAAGTCGATCAATAAAATTAATCGACACAAAATGTCTCTTGTTTTTTACAACATTTGCCTTTAAAAGAAAATTTACTGCCTAGAATGCATATATATATATATATATATATATATATATATATATATATATATATATATATATATATATAGTTAATATATTTGCAGTAAATGCACAGAATACATTATATATATATATATATATATATATATATATATATATATATATATATATATATAATTATTTATTTGAAAATTATAACATAAATATGTTATAAAATCATTATAAAATAGCTATTTTTTCAACACTTCTGGTGTCTTAACAAGTGATGATTTGATAAGACACCAGAAGTGTTAAAACAAAATGGATATTTTGTAGTGATGATATAACATGTTTATGCTATAATTTTCGAATAAATTATTATGTTTGCTCTACTACCTGTATTGAGCACTCTTTTAAGAGTTGGTTATTGGAATTTATTCCGTATACATCAATCTATACTTGGGTATATTATATATATATATATATATATATATATATATATATATATATATATATATATATATATATATATATATATACAGGGTGTCCATAAAGTTCATGCGGACTTTTAAAATTTATTTGCATTTGCGATAGAAATAATCTGTAGAAAATGTTATAAAAGTTTAATGTACCTAATTTTTTAAGTATAGCTAAAATAACTAATGTGATTTCAGGCATTACTGTAAATCAGTTGACAAATGTTTTCCATGAACTGCAAAATCGTATTACCCTTTGTATTGCTAATGATGGAGGACATGTGGAAACTTAAATAAAATTTAAATAAAACCTTAAAAAAATACAGATTTACTTTCGAATCCTTTTTACAAATTATTTCTATCGCAAATACAAATAAAGTTATAAATTTTTTAAAGTGCACACGAACTTTATGGACATCCTGTAAAATATATATATATATATATATATATATATATATATATATATATATGAATGGAATATTCCTTTGTTTATTTTATAAGAATGGTCTATTTTAAATATTGTTTAAAGAGCTTTTTTAATACATACTAAAATAACATTTTTGGGATTATTTAACCATTAGCAGTCTGGGGACCAACTAGGAAATAATTTAAAGAAAGCATTTAAGAATGTGTGTGCGTGTGTGTGTGTGTGTTTGTATGTGTGTGTGTGTGTGTGTGTGTGTGTGTGTGTGTGTGTATGTGTGTGCGTGTGATCTGATGTTGTTTTTGCGTTTCCACAGTTTTCAGCCAATTTCGATGAAATCTTTTTTTTTGAAAAATAATTCTTCAGTGCCGGTTTTGAGTCCAAATCAGCTGGAAAAAAAATTACGACCTTGAAGGCGAAAAATCGAAAAAACTGATTTTTTACACTTTGCAAAAAAAAAAAAAAAAAAAAAATAACAGCGTACAATCAATTTAGAGAGCTGAAATCTAACGCAAAAGATTATTAGAATTATAAGTAAGAATTATCGTATATTATTATTTTGACGGTCCATGGAAGAGGTTACTTCCTTTCAAAACTGAAAACGCAAAACCATCCCTTTTCAGCCCCCACCCCATTCAAATTGCCTCAGTTACACCCAATTATTGTTATTAATATTGATTTTCAGGTGGGCTGACTTTAAACTTAAACTGCTACAATTGAACGGCAAAAAATCCCAGTAATGAAAGACCCGGTCGAAGATGGGTGATACTGCTAGTCATTGAAATAAGAAAGATACAGAAAAAAGCACGATGATGTTAAAACAAGCATGGGAAGTAAACAGGAAAGAAAAAACTGGTAGCAGAATGGGATATAATAAATGAAAAAAAATGAAGAAAACCAGTGTGAGAAATTACATTGTATAAAGCTCAAGAGCCACTTGAGGTAGAAGGCTACAGGTTAAGCGGCACAGTAAAAATAAAAAATAAATAAATAAATAAACCCACAGTGACCGAGAGAAACTTAATAAACAACAAAAAAACAAAACATGAACTGTAAATCTAGGGAGTGTCTAAGAG